TTTTCCTTCTGTCACTAATGTTGTGTTTACCAATAACTTTTCGGCCACTTTTCAATCAAGTTATAGTGGAAGCACCATAGGCGAAATACTTGAATCAAAATAAAAACTTACCGCAACTATTTTTTAAAGACTGTTCTCACCTTTTAGATGTGAACAATAGTTCACCAGTTGGCGTATACATGGATCTGTGGCTCTTTCGTCAAGGCGTTTGAACTCCACTCCACCTACCGAGGCTTCGGAAGCCTCGTTGTATCATTAGCCTTCACGCAATAGGTTTGGCTCATTGTTTAGTGCATAAATGTGTAAATGGTTGGTGAGTGGATTTCGATTTCATACTTGACGAGCTATGGGTTCCACTTACTTTATGAGAATGAATGGCAACTATGTTGACAAAAACAGACATATTATGAGTTTCAACCGGTGATGTTATTGACTGGCGGTTGAGATCATTGGAAAAGAGATGTGGAAACCCTAACTAAATAGTAAATTGAAGTTCTGTTAAAATGACGACAACTAAATACACTTCATCACAATGTCCATTTGGCTTGTTTTTCTAGACGCTTAACTTTCAGTCAAGCGTGTCAAATGGTCCAGTCACTGCTCCGTTATTTGAGGTTCACACGACCAGGTAGTATCACCAACTTTCATAGCGTAGTAGTAGTAGTAGTAGTAAAACCGTACGTAATTGTTAATATATATTATTTAGTTAGACAGTATTTATTTGTTTGTGAATCTGCTTTTTATGGATTTGATGCAAACTGAATTTAGGTTTTGAGTTACTTTTGACATTTGGTAACAATAGTTTTCAGTTAATTGTTATGCTGTATTCAGGGTGGTGGTAATTTTGCAAAAGAAGATGAATTGCTCATGTTGAAAGGCAGGTCAATTGAAAAAGGATTGTCGATATTTTGGTATTAAATAATCTAAAATATCCCGCATTTACACTCATAAATATCGATTAATTTAAGAAACTATTTCATCCGTCACTGCTTAATCATTTTCTTGCAAGCTGTCAGCAAACATATAATAATAGTAGTAATAATGGCTTTATTCTGAAAGCTATTTCGAGATTACTCTACAGAGTTCTCAGCATGTCAAATGGCATCAAATGGGTAGAGAGAGTGTACATGTATACATAGCAAAATGAAATAAGTTGCATAAGCTGCATAAAAACGATAAGAATATTCATTGTATCTACAACTTTCCTGGAAATGTGCAGTTCGTTTAGGTAGACAGTCACACTAACAATTAGATTCATAATACGTAAGAAGTAACACGCTTATCTTCAACTAGTTTGCTTTCGAAAACGGAAGTTGATTTTTAGTTCATTTTTAATACATTCTTGATCACACAGCAGACTGGCTAAATACGGTATTGTAGAATTTTGTTGTACGTGCATAAAGTCTAATGTACTTGCTCCTCGTCTTTCCAGATGACCGACACGCAGAGAGGTTTGAGTGAAGAGGATGTTGGTCATCTGATAAAATGACTCTTGCCAGATGTTTACATGAATGAATATGTTTGTTCACAGCTGTTTTAACCCGAATGTTTAGGCGTAAACCACTAGACCTGCTGACAATCTTCTAAGTTCTACGCAGGAGTTTATAAAACACAAGAGGAGAGGCTGAGTAATAACAGATACTCTCAACTTCCTAAAATAGAAAGTTAGACTGAAAATCCTTTTGGAAATTGGTAAGATATGGGAAGAGCAGGATAAGTCCGAAGGAAAACACACACTGAGATAAATTACACTTGTAACATTCTCTAATGCGCAACTATAAATAGAACAGGAATCATGAGAACTAAAAAGAATACATAAGTTATATTCGCGTCTAAAACTAAAGCTTACAGTCCGACATTTTGAGGAATTAAGCATAAGATCATTCTTGGAGGACCATCGTCTAACAGTAGATAGGAAATCACTCAGTTGTGCACAGTCTGCTGAAGAGGAGATAAGTATGGAAACAGTTAGTTCATCAACATATTTAATGCAATCGATACCAGCTGAAGATAGTAAGTCATGCGGAAAGAATGAGAAAAAACATGGGGAAAGGATGCCCATTTGGGGAACTCCAGTCACAGTAAACAATGAGGTGGAGCGCTTACCTCTATGCGCAGTATGTTGTTTCCTATCAGAGAAATAGGAATGCAGCCGGCTGATTATCTAAGACTCAGTATTTGTCTCGGTTAGCTTTTCCAGCACAAGAGGTCTTGGGTTAGAGTCAAATGCCGAAGTATAGTCTGAAGAGGCACACCTGACATACTTGGCATTTTCATCAAGATCATAAACAATATTGTGCTATAAGAGAGTGGTGGTATCCAAAAAGCTTCTTCTGGTTTTATATGCAAACTGATTAGGGTTTCCGAAAGCCTTCAGTTAGGGTCCGAGCACAAGTATTATTATCTTCTCCATTATTTTTAAGAACGTAGAGATAACTGCAATCAGACGTAATCTTGTACATGTACCTGGATTCCCAAACGTACGTACGGGGACTATCTTAATATCTTTCCAGGCAGCTGGTATAGTGTTTTCTAAAAACGTTCTATTGAGCATACCAGCTAATGGATGGCATAAAATAGCAGCCTACTTCATCAATACGAAGCTTGACATACCGTCTGGATTTGAACTATGTGAAGGGTTCAGGTATTCGAGATATTTGAAAACATATTCCGCGGTGAACCCTGACAACACTCTTCATTGAACATATGTAAACAGAGTGGGATGGGACAAGTGAGTTGACTTAAAAATGATTTGTTCAAAGCACAGACGTCGACATGTGCCTCTTTACTAAGGTTTTGACTGCCAGTGAGGTCTTTAAAAAGTTTCCACATGCTGGAAGATCCCTTGCATGACAAACGTTTCTGGTTATATAGTAGACTCAGATGTTTAATTACCAACCTAATTGAAACGTTCAATCGACGAGCATCAGCATTATCAATTATTTTATATAGTCTTTCTTTTTCCCTTCTTAGTTTCTTAAGTTGGGTAGAAGGTATATGCTTGAAGCGTAAAAAAAGCTTTTCACTCAGGTAAGATATATCCAGGTAGAACTTGAGATAGCATGTAACACCATCAGTAGTGTCGTTCAAAACATCGCTGTCAAATATATTCCAATCTGTGCATTGTAGCATTTCTCTTAGATTAAGTATGTTACTAAGTGAATAGTTTCTATGTACAATCTTCTTATATGTGAAAGCTTTTCTGTGTACTTTGCCACATAGTTTTGGCAAAACACGTATAGTGCAATGATCTGAGCTGAGCAGTGGGGATCTATTTCGAGTTTCATATATATCAGTATCATCGTCGAATATCAAGTCTAGTGTTGCATCCTGACGTGTTGTGAAGTTAACAAGGTTTTGATGACCAAGAGTTTTAAGAAAGCTTTGGCTACAACAATTGAAATCACCACATATTATTGACAGGTAATCACAGAATGTGAGGACTGCGAACTCCGTGAATATGTCAGAGAAACTGGATAATTCGGAGAAACTGCAACCAGGCGTCACATAAACATTTATGATATAAATAAAGCCATGCTTGTTCACATGTTTTGGGCGGCATTTTACAGTGATGCAATCTATGTAGTCATTTGAGAATTTGAAGTTCATGCAACTCGAAATGCACCAATGGGCATTGATGAAAGTAGCTACTCCACCTCACTTTTCATAGTAGAGCTACATCGATCTTGACGGAAAATTTTGGAACCATTCAGAGAAATCAAATAGTCACTACAAAGTTCATGTAATCAAGTTTCTTGCAGTGTAATAACTCCAATTTTACGGTACACATCGGAGGATATAAGAGATTGTAAGCAATCTACTTTTCCTTGCAGTGACCAGTTCGTGCTTACAATGTCGGGCAGAGTCATTTGAGATAAGATTATTCGCTTCAAAGCACGTCGCCACCCACCGTGATGCTTTTTCCTCATCTTATTTGATACTGGCATCTCAGAAGGCCGTAAACTTTTAAAAAATGTGCTGAATATATAATACGATCAGAGGACATAATAGAATGATTGAAACAAAAAATTTGTAGAAAAATTTGATGCAATATATCATATGGAAAATTAAGTAGCCCAGATATTCAAGCAGGCCGCCGATAATCAGGTTCATGCACTAGGCAATGGGTCACATACATTGTCTACAGATTAGTGATATTTACCTACAACCTGGAGTAACTGTGTAGCGACCTAAGTTGCCGCACCGCAATATAGAAGTTAACAAGAAAAAGGGCAAAGAACTGAAGATATTATCAGATGTCATCGAAAGTGGAAAAACTGGAAGTGAAAAGATATGTTATCAAGAGATAGATGGGGATAAAGATGTATCTGCACAGCTGTGATCGATCTTGAGTTGTATCATATAGTCGCCAACCGCCTGCTGCAGTCAAATAGCGCAACTCCTGAGCTATTTTCTCATCTCAGTCTGGCTACTCTTAATTTTTCTTAGCATAGTTCTTCCTCAGCTAATATAGCGCTGGGGAGTCGACAGTTACTCCGTATGGATAATATATGTCCTAGCCGCAACTGTTTATATAGATTTTCAATCTCGTCAGTTGACGACCGTTCCGTATGCAGCTCTCTACGCTTTGCCTCTTCAGTTCCCACAACAACGCTCATTCAGGCACGTTGTACACATTCGCGCAGTGGACAATAAGTCATACCTATTGTGTGAGGGCTGATGTTACTACCTGGTCGCCCGAGGCTCGTACTCGCGACTCAGAGGTCGTTAGTCACCTCTCTAAGCCACTGAGCCACAGTTCCTACATGTTGGTTCAGCAGCATGCAAAAATAATATGAGAATGACCGCCACCACCGCGAACCTGGTAGATAGAAAATGTTTCAGACCTTGATATAGCTTACATGAAGAGTTAATCTTATCCATCATATCCATAAAAGTACGAATTGATTTCTATAAAAAAAATTTTATGTAGATATGTTACCATTCATTCTTTATCCGGATTAATTTCACGCCAATGACTTTTTTAATGTATTCAATAGGATACGGCTGGTCAGGAACGTTATCGTACTATAACAACGGCCTATTATCGTGGTGCGATGGGCTTCATTCTGATGTACGATATAACTAATGAAGAGTCCTTCAATGCTGTTCAAGACTGGTAAGTAGTTCTGTGTTAATGTATACCCTCGCCTTCTAGACTACTTAGAAACAGTTGTAGGGTTACGATATCTCAGTCATCACAAATTGTTTCATGCATATATATATATATATATATATATATATATATATATAATTCCTGTGCAGTATTAATGATTATTTGGAGGGGAGTTTCACTGAAAATAAACTTTTTCTGACTTCAATATCAATCTTTTTTCCAGTCGATTCCTTTTTTTGTACTGCCATGGAGTGTGGTGACCTGGAATGATGGGCTTTCTTGTCAGGTTCTATATTGATTTGTCTGTCTATCATAGACAGTCGACTTTCAAGTAGTAAGTCATAGTTTCGAATTCTAGTGCATCTACTTCATCCTTAGACAACCGGTAAGTACTATAAATCCTAACATCTTGAATGAGACTCACACTGAAGTACGTAAATCTGTATCACACCACTGAGTTGCAGTAGTAATGATAATTATGATGTTCCTAATTGGCAGTTAGTGGGACTGAGTAAATTCCATAGACTTCTTAAAATAGGATTCTGAGAGTATAACGTTACCATTGTTTCTTCTGTTACACGGCATACTGGCGGCATATCTTTACTTTGACGTATTAGATGTTATAGTTTGAAATATCTCTGGCAAAACACCTGAGAACTTCGATCGTTGACATTTATCAGTAATTAATACCCCCTTTCATACAACTCGAGACCTGCATAAGCTATATCATTCGTTTTATTGTTAAGCATTTGGACACGCAGCAGCTTCACAGAAGTTCATTTAGTTCAGTAATATGAATACCTCATTTGGCCATCTTTGTATAACAAAACGAGATCTTTATTCTACTTAAAAAACACTTACAGTTTTGGGGATGCCAGTGGCTACTTTTGTAGAGTTTAAATATGCTTCAGCTTCAGTCACTGCATCAGTTAGAAACATTACTTCTGACCTGTTCAGATGATGCTCAGCAGTCGACTATTTTATAAAATCCAAGATAATACATTGAACATTCAACGGACTAAAGAACTAACTACCCTCAGTAGATAAATCCATTCAGCAAGGAATAATTCTTGCCTACGTAAAGTTGTAATCTAATGGATAAAGAAAGGTATTTTTAAATGATCAAATTTCTCATCTTTATACTTTTCTTACTCGACAAAGTGTTATAGGTACATAGGTCGTTAGTCTCCTAAAACAAAGTCATAAAAATGTGTTTTTTTTGTGTATCATAATTAAAAGTTGTTAGTGAGCATCAATGAAATATTTGGGTAATATAACGTGTTACCATGTGCACAATCTTGTGATGTTAAAATTACAAAATCAAGTGATAGTTTATATATATATATATATATATATATATATATATATATATATATATATATATATATATATATATATGCTTGTCGGCTTATCCATCACATGTACTCGTAGAACTGTAATATACAACTTGTATTTCTTATTAATGTGTGAACGAAATAAATGATATGCAAAAACACCATTCAGTGAAATCATCAAATATTGATATAATCAGTGTTGTTTTTATAAACTGTAGATCTAGATTTCGTGCTTCCTTGGTCTTAACAGGGAGGTGTATTTTCAGTGTTCTCATGATTCTGTCGGAGATTTGAACCTGAATCACTCAGTCATATGGATTTATCATATTCACCTACCAACACTGCTGTGCTGAAAATAAAGCTCAGAATGTATCACATTAGTCAGTTGTAGGAAATACCCGGTGCGTTATTATTGAAACAATTTGTAAGATAAGTAGGTGACAGTGTTGATAGTATTGTCTCAAATACAGTTGCCTACGTGTGTATAAGAAGATATTATATTCCGTTTTTTTATGCATGCGGTGTTTGGGTGTCATTTTATTTAATGGGTCGCTATGTACAAAACTGAGGCCTCATGTCTTGTAAATGAATTCTGTTTTGTGGGTTTATTGTAAATCTGAGGCACTGAAACTACCCGGACAGTTTTCAGACTATTGAAGCCAGTGGTTACTGATCTATTGTTAAGCTTATTTTGATAAATTAGCAGAGTTTCTAAGTTTCTACGTATTATAACATCATGGATAAAGAAGAAAATTAAGCAATTATAGATGATAGATTTCTGTGATATATAAGTAACTTACATGCACGTGGCTATCATGTACAGCGTTCACTAACCTGTGTCAGGTGAGCTCCACTGTCTGCGTTACTTTTATTCCCCCCCCCCATCCCCACAAGTTACATCAACTTGAAAATGTTTTTCAGTTTAGCATTGAGTATTCGTCTTGTCTTCCTGTCTTTCTTAATGCCAGTCCACCACTATAAAGCAAAGATTATAAAGAAATAAAAATATATGTGCTATCTCAATGCTCACTCTATTAAATCTACAGTCGACATTCTTCATCCTGTCAGACTGCCTAGCAATGAAATGTTGTTTTATTTTCTTTGAAGTTGCATAACCGAATTAATTTAACTGTTACAAAGTTTTCTGAAACCTCAAACTCTCATCAGAAAAGTGTTTTTAGATGCTGACGGTACGTATACACTGTCAAATGATTTTAATTTTTCAGTTACATTTTGTACACAGATAAGTTAATCACTCTTGGAGAAAGAGTTTCGAAAATTTATTTATCACCTAGGTTTAAAAAAAATAAATATCTAATCACTTTTTATGCAGTTCTACTGTCGAAAGGATCCTTCCTTAGTAATTCAGTCTTTGTAACATTATGGAATGTGTTAATTTGCACGCTTTATCTTTTCACTTTTTTTTCAAGAACACCATTTCTTTTTCGAAAATTCATTTGAAGCAACCTTTTAAAGACGCCAGAGTTGAAATCTTATAGATTTCCTGAAATATATTTCTCATTATAGAATTGAATAACTATCCTATGGAAGTGGTCGGATTCCATCTATCTATGGTTTAAATCCAGTGAAATGTTTGAACATATCATTGACTTTATTTATTTGAGTATTTGGATTAACCTTGCCGTGTTTTATACCGATGCATATCTTAAAGGTAAATCGACGAATCAGAGAATTTATTCAGTATTAGTCTTCTGTAGACGATGGGGTGTCACAGGTCAGCCAGACATCATTATCACTGTTGTTTATATGATAGATCAACTAAATTTCATAGGCAATTAAATCAGTGATATTACACTTCAAGAACTATCCTGCTGAATCCTTTGCATCAATATCTACTATTATATTAAGAACATGGGGATCTACTAGGTTTGCAACTCAATACCTTTACACCACCCTACCGAATCAAGAGACCTGACAAATATCTATTCATTGGCCATGTGAAAGAATTACCTCTTCCAGCTACTAAGTTTCGCAGCACTCTTGGGTACTACATGATCAGCACTTTTCACTTCCAACACTAAGCTGTATTATATTTTCACGCATGAGTCCCACACATTCAACCCAACTCACTTTCATTATGTCCTAACTCGCACTTGGTCAAAAAAACTTCATAACATCCTACTTGCCATTTAGTCCTCTACTATGATACCCATCATGGTTTTGGATTGCTTTCACACCTTGTCTAGTAAAATTAAAACAAAAGGATGGTTTGATAGCTGGATTGTTTATAGATAACGTTTTGAATTATCTATACTTTGTTTATAGGGTAACCCAAATCAAAACCTATTCATGGGATAATGCTCAAGTTGTCCTTGTTGGTAACAAATGTGATCTTGTGGACGACAGAGCTGTATCCGTGGACCGAGGAAGACACTTAGCCCATCAATTAGGTAAATGAAAGTTTTTTCACTGTTTCAGACTACTATAATATTTGATCTTTTTGTATACAGCTAGTTGCAATTACCCATATCATATTATTTATGCTTAGTTTTCTTTTTTTGTGTAATTGACCTAGTCTTTTACCATCTGGACTGCTGATTAAAAAGACCAGTTCAAGTTTAAACTTCTGGACGTTCTAAGCTAGATTATCTGCTTGTTCTTTGTTATAGCCACACTGAATGTTTGTCTTTTTCATCTGTCTCCTGAAACGTGTTAATCTTGAATGGGTAATGTCTAATTTAATCATAATTCTATTACCCACAATGAAAGTATAGCTTTCAGTATTGACTGATTGACAGTGTTGACTACTCAATTTTTATAACACATGAATTATGTCCATAAATTCCAGTATATTGTGATTGATTAGTATAAGTACTTTGTTGTGTTACTGAATTTCAAGAGAAAATAAATTGAATTAATCTATAGTGATTGTGGGTAAATGAAATCCTTATTGTATGTAAACGGGTGCTTGGATTATTGACCAAGTTGGCAGTTCAAGCTGTATAAGAAAGCGTGAAAAATACAATAGTTTAACCTTGATCTACTTTCATACCAACTTATACGGTTTCAGGTGAGTAAAACAGTTAAAAAGTCACTAAACTTGTCACTGGAGTTAATTCTACCTTTCTTGTACTTGAATTTAACATTTTCGTACCAATTCACACACACACTATGGCCATTAAGTCGTTTTCTCCCCAGTATCAAGGATATCTCCTGATTGGTTAACACTGCTTTGATTGCACCATTGTTTTCATTTTCAAAATAATTTGAAGACCTACAAATGTTTTGAGTCATTTATTTCTATTTTTCCACAGACCTATCTTTCATCTTACAAATTACTCTCTTCGAAGTGGTGGCTGTAACATAATGTTTTGCATACTGTAGGAATTTGTCAGAATATAACACCTAAGAACACAAGCTTTTGTGAAACGATGTCTTCGCAGTATTACTTGTCCATAATGAATTCTTGCTTATGAGTAGTAGTGTTAAGGTTCTCTGGCAAAGAAAGTCAGATAATCAAACTGAACTAGCTGACTACAGGATACCTTACGCATCCCGAAGCAATCCTAGCTAAGGTACTCATTGTGATAAATAAATAAATATTGGTCAGACAAAAATGTGCCATATGTACATGAAGTCCCTGACTATTGGCAAGAGTTGTGTAAGTGGTTGGTAGCGGTTGATAGACCTTAAAGCTGATCGAACTACTGTAGACAGCTTCAATCTTTTCTTTAACAACCGTGAAATTTGGAACATCTAATCGCTTTTCATGTATATTTACTGTTTCCTCTTCCCATATCCTCGTCTATCTTGATATCTTTCTACTTCTTGTCATCTTTGATCTGTTCTAATGTAAGGTGTGATCATTTGAATTGATAGGCTTTTTCCTACGGTTTTGAGTTGTTGCTCTATCTCTGTCTATGTCTACTGGAATACTGAAAAACTGCAACAGTCTAGTAAATTTGCTGAAAATCCTAATGGCTTCATTTTCTGCTTCTCATCCTGTTATTTATTACAGTTTACAGATTTGTAAGAATTTTCCCTTTTAATAATAAATGATGGTATATTTTTCAGCGCATAACTTTTTTTCACAAATTATCTATTCTGTTGAAATGATAAGTTGATATAAGAGTCAAAATGGAAGGGATGAATTGATTTGTTAATAGTTTTTATAAATGTACTTAAGTGATTGATAAACGATGACGATATCGTTCATGTGATCAGAAGGTACAACTTATTCAAAGTTTACTACCTTTACTGCCTTTTTAAACCGACACATCTTTTAAATTATTAGAACTGATTCCTCGTATCCTCCATCTTCTGAATCCTGTAGTCTTAAATTCACTTATGCCATTCTGTATATAATTTCCAATAAATATTGATTACGATTGGGGAGAAAGTGTTAGAAAGGATATATTCTGTTGAGAAATCCTCCATCCACTCAAAAACTCTCATATTTCAATTTTGAGGTTTATGGGTGCCTATTTATTGACTTTAGGTTGGTATTTGTCATGGTTCAACATCAGTTGGAGGAAACATTTGGAACTTGGGAGTACTGGACAGCTGCTTCGTCCTAGTATGGGACTCATTAGTAGTGTGCACTCATGACCCCGCCATGGATCGAACCCAGGACATTCAGATCCTGTTGTTAGCACGTTACCATTAAACCACTGGGTCCGAATCCAATAATCTATATATCCTACTCCTATCGTTGTTGAGTAGCTGCCCTCATGTTCAACTTGCTGCTGGCTGCGGAACCTGAACAACCTGGGTTCGACCCCTAACGGGGTCGTCGGTGCGCGCTGCTAAGAAGTCTCTTTCTTGGACGAAATAGCTGCCCAATGCTCCCAGGTTTACAATTTTTTTCCAACTGATGTCATTCCATGATGAATACCGACCTGAAAACGTTCATACTTTTTATTCTTTTTTTTTGTCGACAACTTTTTGTCAAACCTTGATTATTCAGTCACTGAAGTAGAACTATAGATGAAAGAAGGGATAACTGACTGGTAGTACTTTCAGTTCTGTTCAGTCTTATGAATTTATTTGCATTTGGAAAAAAATTATCTGTTTTTTTTAAATAATCCTTACCACTCAAACAACTAGGCAAAATGAGCATGAGGAATGTTTCTTCTTTTGGTTAGTACGCGTAAAGAACATTTTAGTTCCTGGGTTTTTAAAAATTTAGATGAAGTTGCAAGTAACGACGATCAGTAAAAAGGTAATCAGAGCTAAAAGCTCCTATGTGTATCTCACTTGGAATTCGTCATTTCGATGTTTCTGGATCCCAATGTATTAGTGTTCCTTTCGAGACATAAACCTAGTAAAAAAGGCCGAAGTCTTATTCACTAGATCATTGAATTATGATAACCATTTCCTTTTCAGTCACTTCTAATTGTTCTTAGTGTTTAATCTTTGCTTTTATTGAATTTGATGGATAAGTCAATCCACCAGTTACCAAATCGGGCTTAATTTTACTGAGTAGGTAACTTCCCAAAGTACATACATGAGGTTTAGACTATTTTCAGTAGTTCAGGAAGGTGGTAGGTTAAGGTTAGCATTAGGTGTGTGAGGAAGAAGCACACGGGTCTTCCTGTGTATTTACTCCCAAAATCTGACACAAATATTAAACAGTACTCAAAATAACTTGTAATTTTGAAGTATTAATATAGATTTGCAAACATGATTGCACCATTTCGCGGTTGTCCTCATTCTTATACTTACGGTGGAGTTGTAATTTACGCAAATAACTTTCAACTAGTAGGCTATATATTCAAACTGCACTCCACCCACTGAAGTTTGCACAACCAAGTAGTATCATTAGCTGTAAAACCAATGGGTCGGGGTTGATTTCCCATTTCATAAACTTCTATTTGGTTGTTGGGTTACACTTCTTTCGTTCAATACTGAAGTGCTGATTTCATTAATTGTAAATATTTTCACTACTATATTGAAAGAGTAAGTGATTGCAAAGTAATGGAATGTTTAAGAAGTAGAGTAAGATATGGAAGAAAATGCCATTTCATCATTTTGATCGGTCTTGAGATAAGTTTCCTATGGTCTCTGCCTACGGATTTCTGCTACTTACTGTACTCTAACCAGCAGTTGCGCAGTTGAAAAAATATATAAACTGGTTACAGCATGGACACCATAGGAGTGCAACTCAGCTACCTGGTACGCGTTTATGTACAAGGCTATGGACTAGATTTAATGTGTAAGGGTGTACAATACTACCCAGTTGCTCGGGCCCAAAGTGTACGAAGTAGGGTTTGAACCGGCGACTTATAGTTTTACAGTCGAGTACCTAAGCCAATGAACTGGATACAATATTCCAGTCAATCTCGTACACCTAAGAAAGCTCTAACTCATCATTTGTGATAAATATTCTAACATGCATTGATTGTCTGAAAATAAGAAAGTTTCCGGTCTTATCACAAACAGGCAGTAACTAGGCTTTAAAAAAGTTGACAGTAAACTCACGTGGCATGTTGGCAACATTCGTTTTTAATGTTGTTGCTTGTATTATCCCGTCACTAGTTGGACCGAATCGATCGGTTTCCATTGGCGCATGGACTCGTGCGCGAATGCTTCAATACTGCCTGTTTTAATTATATATTAGCGATGGATAATGGCTAGCAGTGGAGTCTAGGACCCACATTTCATCCTGTCTGGGACTCATTAGCTGGGTGTACCTGCCTCCCAGTGAATGATGTTGTCCCTAGTGGGAATCGAACTAGGTACCGTTCGCCTCAAACCCCAGAGCGTTATACACTAGACCACCTAGACACGGTAACCACTTCTTGTGCGACGGGTTTAGTTTTAATGTTGTTGCTTGTATTATCGTCTTTAATTATCTGATTTAGCCTACCTTTCTGCTGTACATATACATATGTACATGCTTGACAATTATATATTGATTAATTAACAAAAAGATGGAATCTAGAAGTGAGTGAAGGGAAATGATATTTGTTTATCTTATTGAGTATTGGTGAATTCATAGTGAGTTGAGGAGTGTAAAGAGCATTCTATGCTTCATCAATTGGAAATATGATTGATTTCATGAATTAAATTTGTTCGTTTTCCGGGATGGTGGGCTAGACACAAGACGATTCGGTTTAAAGAGACATGGAGTGTAACACAGTCAGAACTTTTTCACTACAAATATTAGATTAGCTCACATAATGCTTTTTTCACTTATCATACATATCTGTACACTAAGACGTCCGTTTTGTAGCTGTGCAAACGTCGGTAGGTGGAGTATGGTCTAAACTCATAACCCATTGGTTGAAATTCAACTGCATAAATCAATGAGCCAGATAAACAATCATCAATGTTTGGTCTACTTAGACTTATACTTTATTATTGCTTAATTATACTTTCTCGGTAAGATTTGATTTTCAGCCTCAATGGTCATTAGCATACTAAGTTTTTGAACTCACAGACTTAAAAT